GATCTGATCACATATCAGGCCTGTTTCACTGTCCTGTATGTGAATATTCATGTACATATCCATAGGACTATTTTTCAATCTCTGGAAAGATCATAGTTCTTGTCTTCTAATCAAAATCAAAGTAAATTTACACAAAAATCACACATATATCCAAATATCTTGTTTAGGCCTTCATAGACAGTGTAATTCATCTGATCAGGATCTCACTGGGGTCTTAAAAATCTGTCTTTGCTCTTGTACAACATGGAAAATACCCTGTTTATCTTCTAGGATATGAAGTGTATTGAAATACCTCTGCATACTTTACATTTTCACTGAATTTGAGTTGTTCCTCAGTTTTTTTAGTCCACCTCCCATGGGTTTTCACTACTGCTGGAGAGGGCTCCTTGTCTGAGCCAGTGTAAATGGTTTAAAGGCTGGTATTCACTTCCCTAAGATGGAAATAATGTATCTCGGGTTATTGAGCCTGAAATATTGAAATATATATTAATATGTTATAAATAGATTATATTTCTATTATATATATATTGAAATATTGAAAAAAGTGATTTGTAAGGCAAAAATAAGAAGAAGTATTCAGGAACACAGAGCTCTAGCAAATGTCTAGATGTTGTTCTCTTCAGAACAAGTAAAAGGAACAAATAATTTGTTAATCTTTTATCTGAATTAGTCCAAGGGCTCATATATACAAAAAATTTGTTAGATGTTAAAGTAAAAACAGCCTATGTCAATTTCTTTCCATATTGTGATTAACTTGTGTTTATCAAACCTTTTTCTACTATTGAAAGACATATTTTTGCATAAGGAATTGCTTGAAAATAACCCAATTTTACTTTATGTTGCCCGTGCTTTCTATTTAGAATTGCTCTAGGAGAGCACCTGCTACATGACAACAGCTCAGGTACACAGTGATAAACACTAATATATTTTACTCTATTTTTTAAACTGTTGGGGTTTTCCACCTTGAGGTTTATTATTATTATAAAATACTAATAAAATATATTAATAAACTATCATATAATAATTATTATATAATATTAATATAATATATTATATTTTAGATATTATATTATATTTTAGATATTATATTTTAGATATTATATATATAATATATAATAAATATAATATAATATAATAGTATAGTATAGTATAGTATAGTATAGTATAGTATAGTATAGTATAGTATATACATTATTATATATTATAATAATATTCTATTAATAAATTATTAAGGAATAATAACAATAATAATAATAATAGTAATAATAATAATAATAATAATAATATATTAATATTAAGTGCCTTACACCTGTCTTGAGTGATGTTTATGGATTTGTAAAAACTCCAGTGAATTCTACTCTTTTCTTTAGAGGGAGCCTGAACGTTTCACCCCTTTTGTGAAACTGCATCATTTAACTTGCTTTCTGATAGTTTTCTTTCTCAAAATAGACAATATTATTCTTCCAATGCCCCATAAGAGATCCCTTTTGCCAAAAACAATCTGTACAGACACAGCTTCATATGGCACAAAGGCTTTTCTAGGTCGAAAGATGTAAGTGCTAAAATTGCATGAACAAGTTTGGAATTGCAAAAATACTTACAGCTCATAAAACCTTCCTACAAAAACTCCTAACTCCACTCAAAACAGTGCCTTGCAGGATGCTTTATGACATCAATCTTGTAGTTTTCTCTTCTGAGTTTTCTGGCATCTAGGTCAGTAAAAAATGTATTATTTTCTAAATAAGTATCATCACCTTTTTCCCCCCATCTGTTAAAAATACATACAGTGAATCTATAGCTCCCAGTTCATATAATGGTCCCATTAATTGATTCATAGGGATTTGTATTAATCAATTATTATAATCAGAGCTATTATGGAAAATACCTCTTAGAAAGGAGAAGAGTGAAAAATAACTAAGTGCCCTGGAGAAGTTCAAGAAATCAGGTGGATTAACAAAAATATTTCAAAGTGCAAAAAAAAAATTGTATTTATTTTAAATGCTTTTTTTGGCCTTTACTTTTCCAGTATTCCACACTTCCATCAGGCAGTGAAGATGGTATTGTGCCACTGATTAAAGCTCTTACCCTGAAAAATGAAACCTAGACAAAGTTTCTAACGTGCTAGAATAAAGAATTTATTCTGATCTTACTAGTTTAATTTAAGCTACCAACACTATTTCATTCATTTGTTCACACACTGAACATTAATAAATCAGAATTTAATAAAAGGTTGAGTTATAACAGTTATACCACAGAAGGAGAAGACGACCAGGAAGAAAAATCTAATAAATATTATTTATTATGCTAAAATAATAACCATAATCACCATTAATATCACAGGAGTAGAAGGTCACATTGCTGAATGGTCCATGATGAAAAAACACTGAGATGTGTAAAAGGCCATTCTCTCTTTGGATGTTTGAAAAAAACAGTCTTTGTACTAAAACTATTGTCAAGTGTGAACCATTACTGCTGGAAGACAAGGGAGGAACACCCCTGAGATCTTCCAGGATTATAGAAAAAAATTTGGGTAAATAACCTAAGTTAGATTTTTACTGAAACCCATTAAAAGGAAAATAAAATCCAGAAAAATTAATTTTTCACATCTGGTATAGTGAAAAATCTCATTTTCTTGCTACATTTTTATAGTTGTTTGGTTAATTACAAGAAAGGAAAAATTACTGTAATTCTTTGTATAGAAAAAACTTTATAGTAGAAGTAAAAAAAAATAAATTTAAAGATCAGGAGTGGAACATAAGACTGCCTTTTGATATATGCCTTCAGTAATGTTTTCTGAAACAACTGAGGGGCCTCAAGAACAGATTTTGTTTAGGTCATGAATCTTAGTTTTTTAGATGAAGATGATCTTTGACGAATCAGAAATTACTTTGTGAAGGACTAAGAAACCCCAGGAATTATTAAACCTGCACAGGAAACTGTTGAAGAATGGACAAGTGTGAGGATCTTTAACAAAGGAAAAAATTATTCCCTTTTCTTTTGTACTCTCCATAAAACTCTTCAGCCATTTTGGTCTTCACGTGTCTGAAGGGTTTAAAGATGTCTCCAACACATGTCAAGCCAAATTGTCTTTATATTTAATGATATTAATTATATTTAATATATATATTTAATATATATTAATTATATTTAATTATATTACATTATATTATGTCATTTGTATTTACCTCCCCAAAAGAACTTCACTGCCTGTCCATTTTGGTTTTTCTGGTTTATTGTGTTGAGTACAAAGGGAAGAATTTTCTGCCAAGTGTTTGAATTCCACCTGGGCTCTTGGTGTCTGTTGTACAGGATAAATAAAATGTATCCTTTAATTTCTATTTTCTGTAGGTTTTGAAGGTCCCTTGCATTTCATTTGGGTCAAATTTCACTTCTGCTGTTCAGCCTAATTCAAACCCAGTGCAGGGATTTGGGGCTTTAACCATAACATTTACTGAGACTGCTGCCTTACCATTCTGTTTAAACAATGTAAGATGGGCACAAAATGTGTGGTAATTCCCAGCTGGTCTTTATTTTTTTAGCAGAAAATTTGATATTCTAGTGCCAGGGTAACATTCTTTTAAAACCTTGGCTTTAACAACAGGGAGGTTGGAGGATCAGATTTACTCATCTACTTCTTTCAGTGACAGCAGTCAGTTATCTGTAGTATGAAGATAGCAGCTTTCAAATCGAATTTTTTTATTTAGATTTAAATTTTAGATCTATATTTTAATTTTATTATAATTCTGAGTTAATTTTTGGTGAAAACTGAATGGTATGTCAAATGCAAAAAATCAGATATCACAGTATTTTTACTTTCATATGTTTATAAAAGTTTAAAACCAGCATAGAAGCAGATTGAAAGGTTCAATCAAGACTGAATTTCTCTGTACTTTGACAAGGGCTACCTGAGATACTTTGTACTGAATCATAGTATTTTAACTGTAAAAATTCATACAGTGATAAAGTCATACAAGCAATAAAATAGAATATTTCGAATACAACAGAAGGATTAGGAATTCAATTCCTAAATCTGATATTTATTTATTTTTTTTTCATAATGCTTATCACAAAAAAAATAAATTATTTAACTGCACAAATAGGTTGAGCCAAACAGGTAACCACCATAATCAGTCAAATTTGTATTATATACAGGCAAATGAAAACCTCTGCACTTTTTCTTTAGCACAAAAAGAGTTTGTCAGTCCTGGAATTTGTATTTTTAAACCATAGCTCAGGTAGGATGTTTTAAGAGAAAGTCCTAGATAAGTCAGAAAGTCCCTGTCTTAAATTTATATTCCTTATGCTAAAAGAAGATATACAAAGAGCAAAGGGTCTTTCAAGTCTCACACCATTAATGCACAGACAATGACTTTAATCTGAAGTTGTGAACAGCATCACTACAGGAATTTGTGTCTCATTTGTTTTAGAATTACCTAGAACTCAAAATTTAACACTGCACAATATTAAGGATACAAAGCTCTTTTAGGGGAGGGAGAAAATCTGCATTTGAAGCACATGAAAAAACATCTCTGCTATTAAATGGGTGGAATAATGCACTGCACATTCTGTTATCTGCCCTGAATACACAGAATAACACAGAATAACACAGAAAAACACAGAAAAATACAGAAAAATACAGAAAAACACTCAATGCACACAAGGCATTAAATGTGGGGTTTGAAAATTGCAGTGCTGTTTTTGTTTGAAGTGAGTAGTCCCAAATAGGATTTACACTCATATTCTATAGCACATCAGTTCCAGACAAACTACTAAACATTCTAAAATTAAAAAATTAAAATTTTTAATTAAAAATTAAATCTAAAATTCCCCATGGTTTTTGAAGTATTTATTTTCCTTTTTTTTTTTTTTTCCTTGGCTTTCCCTTTCTAGATTTCCCTCTTTTTTGAATTTATTTCTGATATTTCTGATAATCCAAATCCTTTCCAACATCACAGCTTTGCAAAAGATGAGTTTGTTTAACTTCTTTCCCACCTATTAATTCTCTGGCACTCATTAAAGCCAGCTGAAGTGTGTACATTCTTAGCCCATCAATTCAGTTCTGCTAGCAAAAGCATAAGAAAGAAGTGGCATTGGCAGTTGTTGAAGAAAGGCTGATATGTCAGGAATCCCTGCTGTTACCAGTTATACCTACAGAGTGATAACTACCACACAATCATCCTTTTATTATCACCTTTTATTGAACTTGGTCGTTTTTATCAGCCAGGTAAAATGGTGTTGATTTTCAGAGGGTGAGAATGCAGCTTCACCAGGGATGGACAAAGCAGGAGTGAACATTGGTTAGGAGCTGGAAGAAGAAATAAGGAAAAAGGGGAAAAAAAAATTAATTATCAATTGAGTAGGTGTGGATCTAATCACTATGAAGTAGAAATTGCTTGGAGGGTTAAAATACAACTTTTGGTGGGTATTTTCAGAGGAACTGAGGTATGCAGCACTCCCTGCACTTCAGCTGAAATAGCAAGGCACTTTCTTTGATGCATAAAAAGGGATTGAAGATGGAAGGCACTGAAAACCAAGGAAGTCACCCACAAAACAAAAGTACTCTTCACAGAAGAGTACTTCACTCTTCTTGGTTTAATACAGTATCTTCCCAAGGGTTTGTTTTGGGGATTTTTTTTTTCCCTAAGTCCCTCTAATCAGGCTTCACTATGTAATAGTGAAATGTGCATGTAATAGTGAAGGTAAATCAGCGAATAGTGCATGTAAATAACTTTATTCTCAGCTTTCTTCAGTGCTGAGAGAGTATCCAGTACCCAGGTTTGTGACCCAGCAGGTCTGGGCAGGTTCAGGCTCTGTGCACCTGATGAGCATTAAAAAGGAATCAGCCACACTCCTTGTGGAAAGAACCAAAACCAATCAAAACCCAAAAACTACCCTCAAAAACAGGGTAGGTGCTGTCCACCCCCTGTTTTTATGGCAGGCTTTAATTGTTCAGGCAGTCACTGAAGGAGTCAGAGAGCCTGATTATTGTTCCACACCCAGGAGCTTGTTACAATCCAAATTATATTAAATATATTGTTATCTCTTCACTCCATGAAATAGGTTATTATACAATTAAAACTAACAAGGACAGAGAGACACAACCCAAAAAGATTATTCCTGTGTGTAGCAGTTACGTATTTCACAAAACAAAACTTCATTTCTGTTCTTTCCTCTGCATTATTGTCTGTCCACATGCCTTGAGTGTAATTAATTCAGTGGGATTGTATGGAGCAAGCTGTGACTTCTGAGTCACCATTTCTGTGGTATCTAAATCCTGGAATTGATTGCACAACCTCAATTTAAAAACTTTCAATAACTGCAGTGATATTTGGGGATGGTTGTAATTCTGATCTGATCTGAATTTACAGGACTTCCACCCAAAAATATAACCGTGAATTTAACATGAAATTCCTTGGTATTTTTAGATTTGTCATGAATCTTTTAGCTAACCTTTTAGCTAACCTCACATAGTTGTTTCCATTTTATTACTCTTTCAATTGACCACCCTATAAAATGGAATGAGGATTCCAATGGAATCACAGGAGATGCTGAGCTGGAGCCCAGCTCCTGACCCTGCACAGGACACCCCAAATCACATCAGGTGTCCAAGTTCTTCCTGAACCCACTTGATGCTGTGCCTGGGGAGCCTTCTTCAAATTATTTTAAAGGCATTAAGAGCAATCAATCTTTACGTACTCCCAGGTCTATCAAGTAAGAAATAAAAATGATTAACAGTAATACCATAAAAATTCATCAGAAGCCTATTCTGAAATGTATATCATCTTGCAGTCAATACTGATCAATTAATAATTTGTAAGTAGCCTGATATTTATTTAATATAACCTTTACACCAAATCTGATTTTCAATAGCATTTCATTAACCTGTGCAATGACTGCAGTTGTGTACATAGATTAAAAATTTGTAAAAGTAATGGTCAGTTAGGCAGCAACCAGTAAAATTTGTACATACAGTGACATTAATTATGCTTTCCAATTAGTCACATCATTGCTCTGGATGATGTGGAATTCTGGCCTTAGAAGTGTATTCCCTTCGACATTTCACAAACATTTCCAAGTAATATCTGTACATAGTGCAACTCATTCTTAGTCCAAAGAGATCCTATTAAAACACAAATATAACCAGTGTGTTTATCCAGTGTTAATGGATTTTCTAATAGAGTTATTTTAGAGTTATTGAAAATAAAAATCAAAGTAAAGGTTTTCCACTGATAGTTTTAAGCATACACTTGGAAAAAAATCTTCTTTTAGCTCCTTAAAAAAATACTATAGATAAGAAAAACAATCTATCTGCAATTTCACACACAAAAAAGTCGAGTTAACTGAAACTTTGAGGTTTTCTTTTTTACTTGCAATGTCCACTGCAGTCACCTCTTCACCAGCATCACACTTTTAGTTTTCCCTTCACACTTGTGTCCTTAATGTGGCTGTTGTCCTTTTACAGCCTGTGACACTTCCTTGGGCTGCCACCAAAGAGGGGAACAGCACATTTGTGTAGCACAAAGTAACTCTAACTCAGCTAAAGAAGATCCCACTCGTTCAGCTGAATTTTTTTGGGCAAAAACTCCTTCTGGGTTCTGCATTTATGAATCCTCTGTCACCAGGGTTTGATCCTCTCTGCAGGATAATCTCAGAATGGTGTTGTGTAATTCTCTTTGAGGGCCTTCAGCAACAGGAGATGGTCCCCAAATAAACTCCAAGTCCTCTCTTTCTTCTGTTCTTTGGAGGGGAAATTAATGTATTTTAAAGGCTGTTCTCTGGGTGTAAAATGAGTGTTTGCTGGTTTTAATCTGACTCAGAACTCTGCAATGACAGGAGTGGCTCTTTTCTCTTTCAATGGACAAGGAAATTTCTCAAATGTGTTCTGGAATATCTCTGAATTTTCCCAGTTCATCCTCAGGAATGAATCCTTCAGGAATGAATAACCATTCCTGCTATTTCCTACAATAAAAAATTCTGTTCATGAGATTCTGTTGATGAGAAACATGAAAATACAGAAATTTCAGTGTGGTGAAGAACTGGAAGGAGATACATTTTTTGATGGGATGAGCAAACTTGAAAAGACAGTCAGGCCTAAAAAGTTTCTTGTTTGAGCCTTCCCCAGGAAGTCACAGATTTTCAGTGTCTGGGATTTTCACAATTACCACATAGTGGTGATCTTTTCAGACAAGGAGAGAAGGAAATATTTGTCATTAACTCTGCTCCCTATATCATTTAGATACATGTGATCCCTGCCCTGCACTATATCATATTTCCACAGAAAAAAAACCCATTGCTATTTTTCCTTGATATTCCCAGTTGTTATTTTTAAAGGCACAATATTTTATACTGCAGAAGAAAAGTCTTCCTCCACCATGGAAAGCATTCTTTAAGTGCCTTACACTGGCAGAAATTAAAGAAAATACTGGTATGGTACAAAGTTCACATTTCAAAATAATTTCAGACCCTCAGGGGGGAAAAAAGTTGTTTGAACACCACCTTCATTTTGCCTGGCAGCTTGTTATATGAAATGTGGACAGGTAATCACATGGAATTTAGGACTTTGCAAAATGCAGCCTGATGCTTTAGGAGTAAAAGAGTGAAATAAATAAAACTAAACTAAACTAAACTAAACTAAAATAAAATAAAAAAGTAAACTAAACTAAACTAAACTAAACTAAAATAAAATAAAATAAAGTAAAATAAGATAATAAAATAAAATAAGATAAAATAAAATAAAATAGTAAACTAAACTAAACTAAAATAAAATAAAGTAAAATAAGATAAAATAATAAAATAAAATAAAATAAAATAAAATAGTAAACTAAACTAAACTAAACTAAAATAAAGTAAAATAAGATAATAAAATAAAATAAAATAAAATAAAATAAAATAAAATAAAATAAAATAAAATAAAATAAAATAAAAATGAAATAAAAATGAAATAAAAATGAAACAAGATGAAACAAATACAATACAATACAATACAATACAATACAATAAAATAAAATAAAATAAAATAAAATAAAATAAAATAAAATAAAATAAAATAAAATAAAAATCACTAGGCCATATTCAGAATAAAATCTAGTGTGTCTAAAGGGATTTTAAGTTGGTTTCTATTCCTGTGCCATATCTGCAGCATGTTGAAGGAGGTTGACTCCAACCAGCAGTTCATACCCACCCTGTGGGATGGGGGAGAGAACAGCATGAACAAAAGTGAGGAAAACCTCATGAGCTGAGATAAAGACACTACTAAGTGAAAAAAAAACCAACAAACATAAAATCAAGAGATGCAAAAGCAATCACTCCCCATTTTCATATTTTTATTGATGCTATTCATACATTCCAGTGCTTCTGCTAACCTTTATTTTGATTTCCATTACCTGTGAGAGCAATCTGACCATAGTTATTTTCTCAAAAAGAAGCCACCAGAATAAGTGTGAGTATAACAGCTGGACTTGATGATGTTTCCCAACATAAATGGTTCCATAACCATAGAACACAGTGGAAACTTACCTGGTTAAACACAAAATATTGCAGCAGCAATTCAGGAGTGATACTGTTCATACAACACAGTCATGGCCAGCTCAAAACGAAGTATTTTTATAATAACAGGCAGAGAACATCATCTCTGGAAAACAAAAAATTCAATATAAAGAAAAAATTATGTTGAATCCTACAGAAGAAAAACAAAAGAGCATGTGGTTCTTTATTTTTTTTTGAGAACAATAGTAAAAAGGGAGTTAGGAGAGTAAAAACATTTTAATTAATCTGTGAGTAATTAAATAAGTGAACTCTAATAAGTTTTTCTTTGAACTCTAGTTTTTGTAAAATTGTTAAACAAGATGAGATATAATGAAAAGTTGGCTTATCAGAAATGTGTAGAAGAACTTGAAAATATAGTCCCAGGCATATAAATCCTCAGTATTATGGATTAGTTTTGATTTACAGGAGATGCAGACAGAACTGCTGTTGGAGTCAGACACTTTTCTCTGTTCATGAAACCTACTTTGAATTTCTGTTGTTACTGCTGAAAGACAGAGTTTCTCTCTTCATGGGTTCCCTGACTGATTTAATATATCTTCTGTCACGCTGCTGCTGTGGATTTCATCTCTTAAGGGAAAAAAAAGGTAGAGAAAAAAGTATTAAACTGCACAGCAATCTATAAAACTATTGGCATTTCGTGCATTGTCAGTGTGTCTCTGATTAAAGGCAAATAGTGCATACATGCTGATGTTTTCTCTCTGGTTTTTGAAGGACATAATGTCTGGGTTCATTATAATAATATTAATCTGAGCCTCTGTAACAATATCCTATTTTTGTTTGATGATATTGTGGCCCTAAGATCATTCTTCATGTTGGGAAAGCTTTAAAGCAGAGAGCACTTCCCATATCTATCCAGCAGCCCACTATTGAATGAGTGTGATTCATTAGCGAGATGGGAAGAAAGTTCCTTGAGATCAGCCCTGAAAGCAATCTGTCATTACAGCAGCACATTAAGCTTTCTTCAAATTCATTTGTGAGACTCTTTGCAGGAAGTAATGCCTAATAAAGTAAGGAAATGACAGGGGAATATTGAAGACCTATTAAAGCATTAAACCCAATTCTTTCCCAAACACAATAAAGGGCAGCCAGACAACCATCTGTGATCTTGTGTTAATTTTCTAAGGAGAAGTGAAGAGTTTGTGTTGGTGACACCGGGGCTTTGACACACACATGAGCCAGTGCAACACTTTAAATTGCTGTTCTCTTTGCACTCTGGAGACTTTTCCACTGCTGTAACCTCAGTCCCAGCAGCCAGGGCAGGGTCCCCCACTCCCAAAACCAGGGAAGGGAAGGCAGGGCTTGTGCTGTGCTGAGCTCAAACCACAGGGTCACACTTTGTAACATCTTGCAAAGACCTTCGAGAGCTGAATAATAAAACAGCTTAATTTCATGCTGATAAAACGTTCTGTGAACTTGAGATATTGATAGCTTTATACAAACATTAGCCTTTAGAGTTTATACTTTTGACTCAAACTTCCTTGAACTATATTAGATGAGTAAGTATGTTGCAATCTTGTGGATTTGGAATTGGAAGCTTGTATTTAAAAAGAAAAACAGAAAAAGCAAAGGAAAAGAAACTGCAAGGAAAGATATCCCAAAGAAAGTGTAAGGCCATTGTTGTGATTTTTACCAGTTCAAACTCTCAAATGATTCTTCATTCTTGCCTTTTGGGAATCCCTCCTGTAATCTATTTCACCAATGTTTTCGTTCCAGGAGTATTTGTGTATTAAAAAGCAAGAATTCATTTCATGTTTTGACTTGGCATGTGAATTGCTGGATATAAAGATATCAAAGAGAAGATAAAACTACATTTTTGTGCCAAATATGTTCTTGCAGCGAACACATTCTGTGTCCTTCATCTAAGGATTAATTTCTATGTGTCTATATATGTGTGTGTGTGTATAATTATTTTTTTTTTGTCTAGTATTATGTTAATACAAGAATATTCTTTTCTAGGAACCAGACCCCAGGATTTTCTCTGGTGTATAGGAAGCTGGCTGTGGAGCAGCTACAGTCCCACATGTGATTTACTGTCCTCTATGCCAGACAGGAGAAGCTCACTTTTTATTAATTTGAAATACTAGAGGAACACTTGGCCAGGAGATTGATCTCCCAGTTGGTTTGCTTTATGGACAAGACAGAAGAAATTATGGCAACTCACTTGGGCATCTCCCAGTGGATACTGGGGGGAGTCACGGTCTCCTGGCTCTCTGGACACTCCCAGGGCTTGGCAGCGCTTTCATTTCCCTTCTCCTCACATGCAAAGGCCAAGTACATGTGCAGTGCTGCACAGGGAATTTATGGAGTCTTTTTCAGCAAGTAGCTAAATTAGCCTCTTCACCTCTCCCAGACCTGTGGACTGCAGCTTTTCTAAACAGGTGAAATCTCTTTTATTAACCACGCTCCGAGGGGAGCATCTTTGCCCTGCTACTCTTTCACATCGTATCATCTCCTAGGCTGAAAGGCCACTCAGCAATTAAACCCAGAGAGTGACCTGAGCAGGGAAAGTCTTTGGGATGTTTTTATATTTAAGTTCTGGATATGTAAAAAAAGGCATTTTCACATGGTAGTCTGCTCCTAAAACATTTATCCATAAGTGGTGCATGCACTGAGTTCCTGAGAAACAGCTTTTATGCTGGGTTTCAATAAGTGTCAATATATGATTTATAGTTGTTTTTGAGTGAGATACTGTATCTAACTCTCCCAACATAAGAAAATATCGCCATCTCTTGCTCCATGCAGGAAATGCAGCTGCTTCTTCCAGCTCCTCTTGCATTTTCATTGCCCTCTGCACACCTCTGCTGTTTCAACAACTCAATTCTTTTCAGACAAGCTGGGCTGCTTCTGTTTCACTAGTAAATTCACTAGAAATTCAAATAAACTTACATGGTAAAATGTTGAAACAAGCATAATGCTCTTATTCTGCAATGGTGGGGGTTGGTTAAAGATTAATGGGAATTATGTCATTGAGCATAGGGTGATTTCTTAATTTTTTAGAGGTTCAGTATTGGGGTGGCTGCTGAGAAAAACAACACTGTATTTAGTGCTGTCACTGTTACTTAAAAATCCTTGGCTCTTACCTTGATGCTGTGGCCTGAGGTGACTGTTGTGGAAACTGTTTAGAATTTGTAATAGAGAAAAACATGATAAAATAGATGTAATAGAGAAATGTATATGTAATGTAGATGTAATGTAATAGAGAAATGTGCTCCCTCTGAAATTCTAATATGTATTATGTAAGGAAGGCTTTTATATTTTTATGGTTTGTTTTTTCCTTTTCCTTGACACAGATACTTAGAATTTCAATTTAATCTTGTGATGGCCCAAAAACAAAAAAAAACAAAGCAAAAAAATTCCACACAGAACAAAAATTCTCCAGCTCCAAATAAGGTTTACAGTGTCTACAGTCTTCTGCTTTATTCCTAATTTGTTCCTATTAGCTTGCACACTTCTAATTTCTCAGCTCAAATATTCTTGTTTTACAAATAAAATCACACACAAGTATTACATCTACAGAAGGTTAGAGAAATTTGGCTGCATTTAGGAAGGCTGTGGGTCTTTCACACTCAATCATCTGTATTTGAAACTGCTTTTGAATTCTTGCAGATATTCATCTTATGTAGGGAGCACACTAGTGTTCACCAGAGGAAGTAAAAATCTGTGATCAGTGCAAGTTTAACCTGTTCTCCCAAAAATACTTCTTACTTTTATTTGGATTCTGGCTCCCTACCCCATCCTCATCCCTTCCCCTCCTTTTCTTTCTCAGTCTTCTCATAGTTCCCAATTCCAAACCAGATCTTATTTTACTCTCACCACTTTTGATCTATAACTTCTTGAAAAACTTCTTGAAACTACAAATAGTTCAACATCTATGCCAGCTTGGTCATAAGATATTATTTCCAAAAAGGACAAGCCTTGTTCATAAAATGTGAGCAGCACAGTCTCATCACAGTGTCCACAACACTTAAATTTCCAAAGGCTGAATTGAATTGGGTGCTCATCTACAACAAGAAAAAACAGGTTTCCTGTTGTGGTTTGTCCATTGATTCTGAATTCCTGAATGAAGAATGTTGGCCTCATTAGGTTAAAGTTTGGGTTTCTGTATTTTGTAGTGCCCCTTGAAGTGCCATGATAATATGAAACCAGTGTACCTGGCTTGTAAGTATTTTATATATCTTCCTTTCTTGTGCTAAAATCTATGGATCACAGATGGGAATGTGGAGTTCCAGACTTCTTACAAATCATATTCTAATTGGTTTTCTGCATTGTCATTTTTTTGTCTTCTGTTTGCTCCTCCAGCCCCTTATTTAATTTTTTTTTCTTCCTCAGAAGTAAAACACCTGCTCACAGAAAGTCTGGCTGCAGCTGTACTTGTACTTCTGTAGCTAATTATGAATATATAGCTGCAACTAATTACGAATATATAACTGTCACCAAATCCTTTGTTACTTTTGTAAAGGGTTAACCACAACATGTTGCTAGGGTGTTGGCAAAAACAAACTTTTATTGTGTAAAAATCAGTATGAATCTTACTTTTTGAAGGGACTCTCATAATTTTGAACATTAATCCCAAGTTTACATTCCCCAGAATGCTTTCTGGGCTTTCAAGATGTGGTTTTGACTGTACTTTTTTACTCAGTCTCTATCCTGATTCTGAGACAGAGGCACCAGCAATATGACAGGATTATTCTGTGTGTACACTGTGAAATCTGTATCTATTTCAGCCACCTCTCTGTCATATTTTCCTGTTTTTTTTCTGTACCTCTACTCTTTTGGTATCCCTCCCTTCTCTCTGACTGATGCTATGGGGATTACACATACATTTAAAAGAAAGCTGCTTTTACATCACCTCCTGTGCACAGTTTTCCACCACAACCGAAGAGTTTTGCTCATTTGCAGAGGAACAATAGTGAAAGAAATGCCCATTCTGTATGTCTATGGACATCAGGGACAAGTGGTGTCCTCAGGGCTCCCTCCTGAGATGTATCTATGGCTGTGGATGATGGGTGGATGAAGTGTTATTTAACATCCTCATCAAGGACATAGACAAAGAGGTTGAGTCTCCCTCAGGAAATTTGCAGGTGACACCAAGCTGAGTGGAGCAGCTGACACTCCTGAAGGACGGGATGACATCCAGAGGGACCTGGGCAAGCTCAAGAAGTGGGCCCATGGAAATCTCCTGTGGTTTAATAAGACCAAGGGCTGGTGCTGCACCTGGATCAGGACAGCCCCTGGTGTCAGTCCAGGCTGGGGATGAGCAGATCCAGAGCAGCCCTGGGGAGAAGGACTTGGGTGCTGGTGGGTGAGAGGCTGGACATGAGCCAGCAGCGTGGACCCGGAGCCCAGAGAGCCCAGCCCGTCCTGGGCTGCATCCAGAGCAGTGAGAGCAGGTGGGGAAGGGATCCTGCCCCTCTGCTCTGCTGAGATCCCACCTGCAGCTCTGCACCCAGCTCTGGGGCATAGCACAGGAAGGACAGGGACCTGCTGGAGCGAGTCCAGAGGAGACCACCAAGAGCAGAGGATGGAGCACCTCTTGTACGAGGACAGGCTGAGAGAATCGGG